GGGACATTTCTTGTTCCTGCTGCTTCTCCAGCTAGCCCACCCCTGCCACAGCTGGGGTTCCTCTTAGTAGGCACTTGTACCTGTTCTTGGGAGTTTCTGTCAGGTGTTTTTAGGTATGTGTGTCTTGTCTGTGAGACTCATTTATGCTGTTGTGATCCCTGTCTTATTCTCAATAATCCTTTGGTGAATTCTGAATTTTCTTATGCTGTTCATAGGACAGATTGCTTTTGTTTGGGGGTGTTACTAGCAGTTCTGCTATTGGTCCTTTTGTCCTTGTGTTTTATAACATAAGCCGTCTTCTCTGAAATATCTGGACAGCTGGTCTGTATACTCTAGCCCTTTGAAACACCCCATGTAGCTTTCCAAAGTGTGTGAGTCCCAGTTCCCCCAGACCCTTATAAATACTGGGCACATGAACTGGCCTTCTCTGGTAATCAGATTGGTGACTACCCTAATTGTCATCCAGTAACTGATGGAAGCAGACACAAAGATCCACAGCCAAGCACTGGGCTAAACTCAGGGAGTCCAGTTGAGAAGAGGGTGGAGGGATTGTACAAGCAAGTATGGTCAAGATCATGTTGGGAAACCCACAGAGACAGCTGACCTGAGCTAGTGGGAGCTCACGGACACTGGACTGATGAAAGATAGGGAGCCGGCATGGGACCGACCTAAGTCCTCTGCATGGGGGTGACAGTTGTGTAGCTTGGTCTTTTGTGATGCCCCTAACAGTAGAATCAGGTCCTGTCCCTGATGCGTGAGCTGGCTCTTTGGAACCTATTCCCTATGGTGAGATGAGTTGCTCAGCCTTGATGCAGGGGGAGGAGCTTGGTCTTGTCTCAACTTGATATGCCATGCTTTGTTGACTCCCATCGGAATCCTTCCCCTTTCTGAATGGAGTAGGAGTGGATGGGAGGGGTGGATGGGAGATGAAGAAGGGAACAGATAGAGAGGAGGGAGGAGAAACCGTGGTTGGTACATAAAATAAATAAAAAAATTAATAAAAAAGAGAGAAAAATAAATACTGAGCACAGTTGGAGCTGCAGAACTCAAATCTCTCTGAAGACCAATGTGATACCACCAATGGGAAACTCCACAATATAGAACTTTGTTTCATGCTCAAAAAGAATGTGTAATGTTGAGTGAAATATTGTAAAGCTTATTGGGTGAAAATGGCATGATACTCCCTTCACCTTGTATGGACAGGTAGGAAACATAAGTGAGTCCTGTCTTTTGACTTAAGCCCCATCCTTAGGAGTTTTCATAAGGCATGTATGGATATTCTAATAGCTGAGCAGCACAAAATCCATAACACTCTGGGTCTGAGCATTTTAACTTGTGTATATTTTCTATTTAAATGGATAGTTTTAAAGGTTTATTTTTTTTAATTGTGTGTGCATGTGTGTGTCTTACGTGTGGGTTTGTGCACCTCAGTGTACTGTTGGAATCTAGAACAGGCATCGGGTCCCCTGAAGTTGCTTACAGGTAGCTGTGAGCCGATAGATGTGGATGCTGGGAACAGAAGTCAGGTGCTCTGCAAGAATAGTATGCGCTCTTGACTGCTAAGCTAGCTCACTAAAAATGGCTGGTTTTATATAGTGACAAAGATTTTCTCCTTGCTTAAGCCCTCACTGTGACCTGTAAGGACTTGAAAAAACACTATTTTTAACAGATTAACCATGTTCCCAAAATCAACAACCCACAACCCCAGCCCAATAAAGTGCTTACCTGGGATGACACAGACTGCCAAGATGTCCTGCTTGATGCAGCCTTAGCTGAGTGCAGTCCCAGTCCCAGGGTAGTCAGAATCCTAGCTCTAGGGTGCCAGTCTGCTGCTAGTTACAGCAGGCTTAGTCACAGCTGCTGACTGACTCTTAAGCACTTCTCACGTCCCTGATTCTCCTGTAACCTGCTCTCTCCTCTCTTTTCCACCTCTCTCCCTTGTAAGCAGATTTCTGCTTTACACAAACAGAACAAGAGCTCATTTCCACTGACTTTTTCTGGTTGCTATAGTCCTGACTCCCATCCAGCAATTGGGACTTTTTTTTTTTTTTTTTTTTTTTTTACATATTTTCATTGGCCACTTTTATTTTATGAAATACCTATTTAGTTTAACTTGCCCAATTTTATTACTTATTCATTTATTAGGTTAGGCTGTCTGCTTAAGTGTTTTTATGTGTATAACTGTTTTTCCTTCCTAATTCCCTGTATGGAAAACATATTATTTAAAGAGAACCAGATGCGCTAGCTCAGACCAGACAGTTAAAGAATGAATGAAAGAGCAGAAATTAAACATAAGGCAGATGCAACAACAACAAAAAGTCCAGGGAGAATTTAGAAAGGTTGGGATTAAGGTTTGGGGCTCTGTAGAGGAAGTCTAATCCCTGGGAACAAAATGAGGGAAAATATAATAAAAACAGAAATTACATAGAGGGTGGGTATATGGTTCAGAAATAGGTTCTGGGTTACACGTCCAGTATTACCAAAGGGAAAAAAAAGATTTAGTGGTTTAGAAGGAAGGATTGTACCATTGTGATTACTGGAAGGCTTCTGTAAAGGTAGATAGATATCCATGGATGCCAACGAAAAAAAGTGAAAACTAGAATATGTGATACTGTGGTTACAACACAGTAAGGTTCACCTCAAGGCAGGATGCAAAGCAACCTTATTTGATCTGGTGTGTTTTAAATGCTTTGGGAACTCTCTGTGAGTCTCTGAAGTGGTCTTTGACTATACAAAGTGAGAATGGTTGCTTCTGTGACTCTATTATGTTGCCATTCTGATGAGGCCTGTTCTCATGCGTCCACTGTAGTAATTCAGTGTATCGGAATCTGTCAGCACTGTTGAGGCTTCTCCAGGCCTTGCCCTGCTGGGTGGGGAGCATCCTGCCTGAGGGGACTTGCCTTTCCTGAAGGAAAAGTGAGGTGTCCCGAGGGGAAGGAAAAGATACTCATAAACTAGGGAAGTTGTCCACTCCCAGGGATGGTGGGGGAGGGGCAGCTAGGGAGTAGCCTGGAAAGCTTCAGAAGGGACAGCCCCCAGCTACCAGGTCATCATGGCCACTGCCATGCAGTGCAAGATTCAACTAGGCCTATCCTTTGTCTTATGTGGAACTGGCTGAGTGTACACCAGAAAAGCAGGGTTGCAGGAGACTTGGCTTTAGAGACAACAAATGATCCTTTGCCCTTGCCCACCTGCTCCATCTCTACAGACTGGCAGAGAAGAGATGTGGGTGAAGGAAGGAGGCAGTGTTTGGGACCTAGAAGGACAGACAGAAAAGCCAGTAAAGAGTCCATAGCAATTGTATCCATGGCCATCATGGAATAGTCCATCTTAGGAGTGGGTGAGAGTTGGTGTGCTGGATCCCAGGCCAGAGTGCTGCAGGAGGAGTTTTAGCAGCATGAGTGAATGTGCCTGGCTCAGCAAAGGAGCTCTGTAAGATGCAGATGTGACCCTGTTCATCTCTCAAGGTTGAGTGACATTAGGGGCTGACTCAGGTGCCTTCTGCATGCAGGGTTTCCTTTGGCAGGGATGCTCCACTCCTAGAATACACCAGATCTATTTCTGAGAACTCATTGTGGCCATACCTCCTGCTGGTGAGCCCAGTGGTCACTTCTCAAGCCAAAAGGTAAAATCTGTCCAAGGAAGTCTGGAGTGAGGTGCTGGCTTGTTGACTAAGACAGAGACTAAAGAGTTATGACTAAAGTCCATGAGACACTTGAACTTTTGAGAAGTAGATTTTAGAAATAGCCAGTCACACATTTTGCTAAGCCATCCTCCTGAATACAAGGCTTGGTAAGTTTTCCTTTATGTTGTTTGAGCTATATTTACAGACTTCATTCTACCTTGTATTTTTCTACTCAAAGGAATATGTAAGGAAACTATGTTCAGAACCTTTTGCCCTGCCTGGATTAGTCTAATTATCACTCATGTAGTTGGTCCTTATTTTCCTACAAATCCCGTGGGACACTCCCATGGGCCAGTAGCAGTGCTAAGGAGTCTGAAGGCAGGGTCAATTTGTGAGGGGGATGCCACCCAGCAGGCCACCACATTAGGATTGAGTGTGCTCAGTGTGTCCCCTATACAGTGTTAGTGAAAAATGAGACATATTGGGTGCTATGCAAGAGAATACTTGGACTGACCATAAGACAACCATATCACAATTTACCAAAAAGAGCTTAAACTGTGTGAGGAGATTTAAATACTGTGGCTGAGAAAGATGTTGAGATATACTTCATAATGCTTTCTTCAGGAAGGGTGTTATATGTGTGAGTGTGTGTATGGGTGTGTGTGTGTGTGTGTGTGTGTGTGTGTGTGCATTCTAAATCAATAGACCACTTGTAGTACACAGGGTTCGATGGTATGGATTATTCATAGGTGGAACTTTATTATCCAAGAGTTTGGAGACTGAGAACCCAAGATCAAGGCACCAGCAGATTTAGGAATTCTGATTCTGTAATGTAGCCTTGAACGCCTTGTTCTCTGGAGTGACAGTTGCTTCATCTTCACATGACAGAAGGCACAGGCAATGATGGCATCAATTCCACTTGTGGGGGCACAGCTTCGATATCTGAGTCACCTCTTAAGGGCTCCATCTCTTAAGACTCAGACAAAGATAACTGAAGTTCAACATGAATTTGGGAGGCAGCAAGCACTGAAACCATAGCAGACACCTCAGCTTTTTGTAAAGATGTTTAATTTGGTGCTGTATACATTGGTTGGGAACTTAGTTTTCACATATAGACACAAGCAAAGGCCCAGGCCCAGGCCCAGGTGAGTGTGTGGGTTTAGGTGAGAAGGCAGCAAAGTTTTAGAAAGGCATAAGTTTTCCTGATTGAGGGGACAGCAGGAGTTGGGCTTCTTTTCAGTGGGGGAATTTAGCTCTGTTAAATGTTCAGAGTTTGACAGGAACAATGTATGCATGTATTAGTTTTATAACCAAAAATAAATTTTCCTTAGACATTTCCATTTTGGGAAAACTAAAAGCAGAAGGGACTGAAAGTAGTGTTTTAAGAAATTTATGTTACCAGGCAAATAAGAGGATTGCATATCAGGTCTATAATCTCAGTAGAGACAGAGTTATGTGCATCCACTGCAAGCACAGTCCAGAAAAACGCGTTTCCTACTTTGACCCACCTCACTCCAGTAGAGGTGACTCTCCAGTTGCCAGGCAGAAATTGTAAACTGAATCAGAAGTATAAACAGCCACATTCGAGATACCGAGGTCACAAGTCTCAAAGGACTTAGCTGTATCGTGGCCACTGAGAGATAAAATGCATATTTTTACTTATTATTTGCACAATAGCCTCCCTTCATCCTTCTCCTCCCACTCCCTCCCTTTACCACCCCTTTGCCTGCCCCACCCCCCAATCTACCCTTCCTCTGTATTCACTCAGAAAAAGGCAGGCCTCCTGTGGGCAACAGCAAAGCATGGCATATCAAGGTACCACAAGACCAGGCACCTCTCCCTGTATTCAGTCTGAGCAAGGTAATCCAGCATGAGGAATAGCTTCTTAAGAGCCAACCAAAGCAACAGGGACAGCCCCTGATCCCATTGCCAGGAGTACCACAAGTAGATCACGCTACCCAAGTGTCATATATATGCAGAGAGCCTAGGTCTGTCCCATGCACGCTCCCTGGTTGTTGGGTCTGACTCTGTAAGTACCCATGAGCCAGGCTAGTTGTTTCTTTGGGTTTTCCTCTGATGTCCTTTACCACCTGGTTACTATCCTTTATCTGTCTCCTCATCAGGACTCCCAGAGCTCAGCCCAGTGTTTGGCCATGGATTTCTGAATCTGCCCCCATTAGTCGCTGGATGAAGGCTCTCTGATGACAACTGGGGTAGTCACCAATCCCAGTCACAGGGGATGGCCAGTTTAGGCTATGCATTCACGGCTGCCAGGAGTCTTAGCTGGGGCTATCCTTGTAGAGTCCTAGGAGTTTCCCTTGCATCACACTTCTACCCCTTTCTAGTCATCTCTCTCAGCATTCTCCCTCTCTGTCCATCCCCCAGCCTTATCCTTCAAGTTCCCATGCCCACACACTCCCAGTCCAACTGGAGATTTTTATTTCCCCTTCCCAGGGAGATCCATGAATCCCCCACTGGGTTTTCCTTGTTATGTAGCCTCTCTGGGTTTGTGGATTGTAGCATGGTTATCATTTACTTTACAGTTAAAATCCAATTATGAGTGAGTGCATACCATCTTTCTGGGTCTAGTTTTCTTCACTCAGGATGATTTTTTTTTCTAGTTCCATCCATTTGATTTCAAATTTCCTGATGTCATTGTTTTTAACAGCTGAGTAATACTCCATTGTGCAAATGTACCACATTTTCTTTATCTATTCTTTGGTTCAGTGGCATCTAAGTTGTTTTCAGGTTCTGGCTATTATGAATAAAGCTGCTATGAATATAGCTGAGCAAGTGTCCTTTTGGCATGATTGAGCATCCTTTGGGTATATGCCCAAGTGGATAGATTGATTCCCAATTTCTGAGAAATCATCATATTGATATCCAAAGTGACTGTACAAGTTTGCATTCCCACTAGCAATGGAGGAATGTTCTCCTTGCTCCCCATCCTCTCCAACATAAGTTGTCATATGTGATTTTAGTCTTAGCCATTCTGACAGGTATAAGATGCAATCTCAGAGTTGTTTTGATTTGCATTACCCTGATGGCTAAAGGATGATGATCATTTCTTTAAGTGTTGAAATGAATATTTTTGGTCATCTGAGAGCTACAAGGAAAAAATATTGTATACATTTTGGATTAAGTTTTGTAGTTAGCATACAAAACAAATAGTTTCTTTTCCATTAGCATTAAAAGCTTTTATTGGGAATATCGTCCACAATCTATACAAGTTATATACAAGGCATGAAAATGGAAAACAGCACAAAATACAATTGAGGTATAAGTAAGAGCACAGTATGTCATGTTTCAATAAATATAATCCAAAATTTGTAAACTAAGTAACCAGATAAATGAATCATAATTTTTTTTAGTAAAACCATATAAAATATTTATGTCATGGAGGGTAGAGGACAGTTTTGTGTGTCATGTAATGCAACCAGCCACAGCAATTTCAATCATAAAACTATACACATTGGCAAAATTACCAGTTGAATTATGTTCAATATAGTCAATTTGCTTCAGTAGTTGCAGAAGGGACCATTCATTTACTGCCTTCACAGGTTAGAAACTGAGGAATAATTGAAGACTATTACACTGCCTTAAATTGCCAATATAAATACTTCTAGCAGAAAAGCTAACGGCAACTATAACAAATAAGTTTTATTATGGCATTTTCATAAATGAAAGAGTAATTAATATATTTAAAAATATTTTTAATAATATTTTGATTGTATAGTTTTTACTCATGCATGTATTAATTCATTCATCCATATATTCAAATATATTAGCATCTTTTATTTATTTTTGCAAAGTATTTAAACTTGATTTAAAAAATCTAAATACATTGAATCCTAATAGTTCACCATCAAAATGAAACTGTATTAAAGTTTTACATATGTATGTGTACATGTATGATCACAAATACATACAGTAGAAGTTGCTAAGTACTGATTTATTCCTGTGCTTGAGTTTTCTAGTGTTAAATAACAGCCTTATAGATATTATCACAAAGCTCAAACAATGTAGTATACTATCTTACTCATTGTTCTATTTCTATGAAAAGACATTATGACCAAGGCAACTCAAAAAAAAAAAAAAAGCACTTAATCAGGAGTTTGCTTATAGTTTTCCTGAGGTTTAGTCCATTATCTTCATGGTGGGGAGCATGACGGCACTGGAGCAACAGTTGGGAACTCTGTATCCTGATTCTTAAGCAGGAGAGAGAGAGAGACAGAGACAGAGAGACTGGGCCTGGTGTGGGCTTTTGAAACACACATCCACCAACAAGGCCACACCTCATTTATTTATTTATTTTAATTTCATTTTACTTTCCAATCACAGTTCTTCTTCCCACCCCTCCTCTTGCCTTCCTCACCTCCCCCCAAGCCCAACCCCCATCCATTCCTCCCATAAGGTAAGGACCGACATGTGGAAGGACCCCCATGTGGAGTCAACAATGCCTGAGCCATCAAGTTGAGGCAGAACCAAGCTCCTCCCTGCATGAAGGCTGAGCTTGGCATCTCACCTTAGAGAATGGGTTCCCACAAGCTAGCTCATGTACCAGGGGTAGATCCTGGTCCTACGGTCAGGGAAAGTTACACCTCTTAATCCCACTAAGCATTCAAACCGTCCCCCCCCCCCCGCCACACACACACTCCTTATTGGGGCCCTTCTTTTTTCAAACTCCCACATGTACTTTTCCTAAAAAGCTGAAAACTCTTGTTCTGAAAGTAAACATCTTTCCAAAATTCATAAATTTAGACATTTCCTGAAGTCCATAAAAGGCACTTTGCTTTTCCTTGTCCATGGGGCACCAGGGCACGTGCAGTTTATACAGAATGGGAGTCAGGAAGTGTGGTGAGGAGATAATCTCTTTCTAAAGTCACCACTGTGGGCTACTGTTGTGACTGTCCTACAAGCTAAGCAGCTACCACCTTGGAGAGCTATGCTGTGCCCCCTTGCAAAGAGATTATCCAGCTGGGCCTATTGCCTATCTGCTTGCCCTTGGGGAGGGGTGGGCAGGGTCCCAGAGCCTCATCTGAGTATCCAGCCACTCCTTATCATCTGTTGTATGCCACTCTATCTTAATTGCACATGGCCTTAGGGAGGGTCTAGAGTATATGGGTTGGTGGGAAGTGGGAGTGAGGGGAGGCTAGATGAGGAGGGGACTTCATCTACTCAGCTAAGGGGAAGCCTTCATTTATTTTATTTTATATTTTTATTAGAAAGAAAATTATTTTACATGTCAATCCCAGGTCCCTCTCCCTCTCCTCCTCTCCTGTCCCCCCCCCAACTAACGACCTACCCATCCCATACCCTTTCTGCTCCCCAGGAAGGGTGAGGCCTTCCATAGGGGGCCGTCAAAGTCTGTCTTATCCTTTGGGATAGGGCCTAGGCCAACCCCCTTGTGTCTAGGCTCAGGGAGTATCCCTCCATGTGGGATAGGCTCCTAAAGTCCATTCCTATGGTAGTGATAAGTACTGATCTACTACAAGAGGTGCCATAGCCCTCATTTCTGATAAGTGAAGGCTTTCCAGGTGTGACCTGTTGTAGGGAAGGAGCACCCACACCCCTATAAACAATCCCTCACCTGTGCTCTGAAATGAAGTCCAACAAACTCATTTGTTCTCTGAAGAGAATTTTGGGTTGAATCATGCCTTGGTTGTCATTGGAACTTTAAGAGTGGAGTAGACATTGCTTATGTCTCTTATTGAAAAGGAATTTCAGAGATCTGATTCCATTGGGATCTCTGTAGACGAATACAGAAAATCTCCACAATGAGACAGGAGACAGGGTCATTCATGTAAATGATCCCACCTGCCAACAAAAGTTCTTATCCTTTCTGGCTCACATGGACACAGCTCCTGAGAGACAAAGATTTTGTCATTATGAAGTGAATTCAGGCTTTTGCAGATTTCTGACCTCTTGAAGCAGGTGGAAGGTTGTCGGTCAGTGACAAATGTGTCTACAGGCTCAGTGGGGGTCCTTCTTGGGGGTGGCACATTGATCACCTAAGGCAGCCTTGGGGATCACAGTTGCACAGTTTTCTTACCCAGGCCGTCCCTAGAGAGGCCTCCAGCTGTGCAAATGTGAAGGTCTGGAACAGTTAGATCCAAATCTGCACAAAATCAAATGTAGCCTTTGGGGCAAAGCTTGCCACATCTGAAGGCAAAGGCACTGGTCCATTAAACAACTTGTCTCTCTGCTTTCTGCATACGTGGCCAAGAGGTCTCTGTTTCCTGTGCCTTGTCCAGCTTTACTTTTTGACAAAAAGCTCCTTTCCCAAATCACTGTCAATGGGATGGAAGCCATCTCACTCCTGCTCTGTCCAGGTGTGAGATTTTTTTTTTCTCTGACCTGAATTGGACTCTGATAGGCAGAATCCAGCCAATTTGCTTTTCTAGTGGGAAGAGTTTGTTTTGTCTATGACAAAATGTATGCATTTAGAGGACATGATGCTAAATAAAATAAGTCAGGCATAGAAAGACAAAGACTGTATTTCTCACTTGTATGGAATCTAAAACAGTCAAACTCACAGAGTGGGTAGGCACCAGGGATGGGGAGGATAATTTGGATGAAGAGATGGGCATCAAGGGGTTTGATGTGTCAGTTAAGCAGGGATTTTTAAGATCTGTTATGTAGCAGGGTTAGTATAATTAATTAAGTAT